GGTCTAGATAATACTTAGTCCTGCCTTGACTGCAGGGGACTGAACTAGATCACCTCTCGAGGTCCCTTCCAGTTCTATGATTCCATTTTGGTTCACCATGCCACCACACTCTCCAGGATCAAATGCCTCCTTAGGAGACACTTCTTTTGTGAGGCCTACAATAATTAATGCTGCATATTTGTCAAGGGTATGACTCCTACTACAAAAACTGGGAGGTACAATTTATTTTTTTACTAATTTATTTTTTACAGCACCTACTGGCCTCAACCAAGAATCAGGGCCCCATGACACTGGAAGCTGTACAATACTGGAAGCTGTACACACACATAGCAAGACACCATCCTTGCCCCAAAGAGCCAACAGTGTGAATAGGCAAGACAGAGTAGTATCATTATACCATTCTACAGATGGGGAACTGCTGCACACAGAGATGAGATGACTTACTGTAGGTCACACGGAGTCTGTGGTCAAGGCAGTAACTGAACCCAGCTTTCTTGAGTCCTAGGCCAATGCTTTAATCCACAAGGCCATGACCTTGCTTTCTGAAAAACTTTATGGTCTTGTCATGCTGCCCAGCCCACTCCTGAGCAAGACTCCCTCATTGATCTTACGATGTTGGCTTTATAATATCTACAGTGTAGTGGAGTGTGGATTTCAAATAATCTAAAGTATGGCTTTTAAATAATTTTTTCTGGGAAACTAAAGGATATTTGACTTTTTTCATAATTTTCTAGGACAAACAGCTTTTACTATTCAATAAGTATTAGGTGCCTTTTTAAACAAAGGACAGTTATCTTTTCCATAACTGGCATTTTTCGAGGTATGTCGCTCATGTCCATTCCATGTTAAATGTGTGTGCTCACCACATGCACCGGTGCCAGAAGTTTTTCCCTCAGTGGTATCCGCAGGGGAGTGGCGCACACATGCTGCAATATAAGGGGCACTGCCGGCTCCTCCCACCCTCTATTCCCTCTTGCCAACAGTGGGGAAGGAGGGCGGGTCATAGAATGGACATGAGCAACACATCTCGAAGAACACCAGTTATGGAAAAGGTAACTGTCTTTTCTTCTTCAGGTACTTGCTCATGTCCATTCCATGTTGACTCCCAAGAAGTACCAACAGAGGTGAGTAGGAGTTCATGGATGTGTAGCCTGTAACAGCTCTGCCTAATCAAGTGTCGTCCCTGGCCTGCTGGGTGATGGTGTAGTGTGCCACGAACGTGTGAACTGAAGACCACGTTGCGCTCTCATTGAGTGGGCCTTCACTAACGGCGGTGGCTAAACCTGCGCCAACTCATAACAGGTCTGGATGTAGGAAGTGATCCAATTGGAGATCCTCTGAGAGGACACTGGCAGGCCCTTCATCCTGTCCACTGTTGCAATGAAGAGCTGTGTCGACCTGCAAAAGGGCTTGATATGCTCCAGGTAAAACGCTAAGGCAAGTTGGATGTCCAGCCGCCTCTCCTCATTCGTCTTGTGCGGCTTAGGACAGAACACCGGGAAGAAGATTTCCTTTTTGATATGGAAGGAAGACACCACCTTCGACAGGAAGGCCAGCTGGGGTCACAGCTGTACCTTGTCTTTATAGAAAACCGTATCTGGCAGTTCCAGCTAGCCGATGTCACTGCCACAAGGAAGGCAACTTTCCACGATAGGTGAGAAAGGGAACAAGAGCCCAAGGGCTCAAAGGGCGGACCCGTGAGTCTGAAGAGAACCAGATTGAGATCCCACTGTGGGACAGGATCTCTAACAGGAGGGAGGAGCCTTTTGAGGCCTTTCAGGAACCTGACAGACATCTCATGCGAGAACATCAATCTACCCTGGATCAGTGGATGAAAAGCTGAGATGGCACCTAGATGAACCTTGATAGACAAGAGGGCCAGGCCCTGATTTTTCAGGAGGAGCAGGTATTCCAAGATTGACTGCAGCGAAGAGTGCGTTGGGGAGACTTAGCCAGGTAAGTTGCCCTAGTGGAGGGTTTTCTACTTCCCAAAAGGACTGCTGCACCTCCCTGGAGCAGGCTTGCTCCTCTGGGTTCAACCATGCAGCATCCACACCATGAGGTGGAGGGAGGCAAGGTTGGGGTGCAGGAGGCCACCGTGGTCTTGCGAGAGCAGCCTCCGTCTCAGGTGGACGGGAGACCATGGCAGAGGACTTGTCAGAGACTCCTGACACTGACTTATGCCTTTGGGGCAGCTGCGTGAACCCCACAGGTTCCAAGGGTGCCACAGCATGGGCCATTGACCCTGTGGCCACGGTAGTGCTGACAGTGCCACAGGGAGAACCGGTGTCGCCAGTGGAGGACCTTGCCCCACCTATAGGGGTTCTTGGTCCAACTCCGAGTCCAGGGATGGAGGGCCATGTTCCGGAGATCGGGACCACACCAAGACTGACCAGGCGTCTTGGTCCCGGCTGTGTCCACCGCCACACTCCAAGTGGGATCTGTATGCGGGAGACGATCCACCGCGTCAAGATCCTGGTGACTGGTGTCAGCATTTGGCGGATCCACGACAGTACCACGGCGATCTACACCAAGCAGTTCCCAACCGGTTTCGGCCTATAGAACGGAAGCAGGAGCAAGAGAGTGACCAATGCCGCGATGACGAGCGTCGATGCTGGTATAGCAACCTCTGGCTATAGGTCAGTGACAGGTACCGAGAAGTCCTGACGGAGGTTACCGCTACAGCAGCAGCAATCCGAAGGTGAGCAACCCTCCCGGGACCGGGGTCGCGGGGATGAACGTGCCTCAGTAGGGCTATGCCATATTACCGGTGATTGAGGCTTTGATCCTGCAGAGTGATGGCCGGAGTCCGGAGACCTGTGCTGAGGGCTCCAATTGGTATGTAGCCCTATGTCCGAGATGTGGTGGCTCTGTGCGGGCGAGCACTGGTGGGATGCTCCCTGACATGGTGAGCGGTACTGCATTGATGGGGATTGAGGGGGTGGTACAAGGGCAGGCTTACCCCTTGATTTGGGAGCTGTAGTCGCCGGTGTGGGCAGCACCGGGAGGGACAAGATATCCTGTGCTGCCTGTAGGGCCTCTGGGGTCGACGGCATTGCCAGGTGCCGGACTGCCATGCTGCTGTCCAGGGTGGCTGGCACATCCTGGGATGGGCTAACCTGCTCAACTGAAGCTGGGGCCCCACTCCCACTTGGAGGCAATGAGCCACCGTTCATTGTGTCTAGGCTCGCCTCCTTCCCTCTCCTTGCCCTTGCGAGCAGGAGACTGACCTCTCCCGGTCTTCCCCTTTTTACTGGTTGGTGCCGGGGAGGTGGATTGTCATCTGTCTGATGATCGTACCCACGGGCCGCTCCACACTGACGTCACAGTGCTGGATGCGGAGTTTGATCTCTGCTGCCCCGGTGCTGGAGTCAGCGCCGACTCCATAAGGAGTGCTTCAAGTCGGATGTCCCGCTCTTTCTTAGTGCGAGGCTTAAAGCTCTTGCAGATTCGACACCTGTTGCTGACATGAGATTCTCCCAAACACCTTAAACAACTGGTGTTGGGGGGTCACTGATGGGCATGGGTTTCTTACAGCAGTAGCAGTTCTTAAAGCCCAGGGAGCGGGCATGCTCCATCCCAAGCCTAAGTCCCATCTGGGACAACTAAAACTAACTAAAACACACTAAGGGAACTAATACTAGTTGATATAACTATGTACAATAGAAAGGTTTGCAACGAACAATTCTACAGAAGAAAAGGTTTGCTGAAGCAAAGGAATGTACTAGCACCATCACAGGTGGTAATAAGGAACGGAGGATGGGGGGAGCCAGCGGCGCCCCTTATACCGCGGCATAAGAGCGCCGCTCCAGTGGGCGCCAGACCCAGTCCCCTACGGATACCACTGAGGGAAAAACTTGTGGCACTGGTGCATGTGGTGAGCACACACGCCTAACATGGAATGGACATGAGCAAGCACTCAAAGAAGAATTAAAATGATTACTTTCCGTTTTTTTCTATCACGGCTATATAGCAGCAGTAGCATATTTAACTGAGCCAGAGAGATGTACAGCAGTGGCTCTCAACCTTTCCAGGACTACTGTACCTCTTTCAAAAGCCTGATTTGTCTTGAGTACTCCCAAGTTTCACCTCACTTAAAAACTACTTGCTTACAAAAATCAGACATAAAAACACAAAAGTGTCACAGCACACTATTACTGAAAAATTGCTTACTTTCTCATTTTACCATGTAATTATAAAATAAATCAACTGTGATATAAATATTGTACTTACATTTCAGTGTATAATACATAGAGTAGTATAACCAAGTCATTGTCTGCATGAAATTTTAGTTTGACTTTGCTAGTGCTTTTTACATAGCCTGTTGAAAAGCTAGGCAAATGTCCAGATGAGTTGATGTACCCTCTGGAAGACCTCTGCGTACCCCCAGGGGTACTTGTACCCCTAGTTGAGAACCACTGGTATACAGTGTGTGATCTTGTTATTGGGCCCTTGTCATTTCATATTTATCCCCCCTACTGTTTGTTACTCCACTGATCCCATCATATCTAAAGTGGTATTGCAAGCTCTTTGGGGCTGGGGCTGCCTAATTACTATTTTCATTCATAAAGGAACTGTAATACTCTGGTACTGAAAAGAGCTGGGTGTTGGGAGGGTGTCTCAGTTCAGTTCTTAGTAGGTAACTGTCTCTTTTCTGAACCTCCCTCCATCATAACTGGCATCTTTGTTTGCAGTCTTATCCCTGAAAAATAGTTGTCAAAGATTCAGCAGGCCATTGAAACTGGATTGTCCTCCTCCTCCTAGGAAAGGTCCCTCCAGAGCAATGCTGAGGGATATTGGCAGGAGGTGAAGTAGAGCAAGCTTGCACAGCCACTTCTATGGATGAATAGAAAATTTCGGTCTTCAGCCACAAGGGCTGTCAATCCAAAATCTTTCACCATCTCCAAATTCACGAAACCAAAAGCCCAGAGGTATTGGAAATGTGATAATTGCCAGAGTGATTCAAAGCCAACACACAACCAGCCCCAACAATACTTTACCTTCCGCTGAGAAAGAAGGAAATTCTGGCATTTCATGAGCTGTTGGAGTCTGAGGAGAACTGTTTGAACTGGTTTCCTTGGAACTGCTATTGGATGATCCACTTACTGTTGCAGTAGCTTTAAAATAAATATCTGACTGAAATGACAAATAACACATTGTTAGCACAACAAGACTTCCCAGTTTAGCATTGAGACTGTGCCCAAAGAGTTGTCCTTTAAATGGTGCAGCCACTGTATGCTGATTTGCCAATGGAAAGGCCTTAAAGACATCTGGAGCTGGCTCTGGGAGGAGCACCCCAGAGTAAAAGAATCCTCTGGTGGTATACAGTTGGCAGAGCAGCCAGCTCCTACATGATCCCCCTACTTGCAGTTACAGAAGGTAGCATGGCCTGGGCTTTCCAGAGGGCTGTCAATTCCTGCCTGGGCCCCTTAGCCCTGTTGGCAATCAATGCACATTAGACAATGCACATTAGAGTAGCCTGAAGGGCAAAGGTGACCAGCCCAGATGGCTCCAGGAATGGGAGAAGGTCAAAAACAGCACCGAACCATATTGACACACTCCTGCCCTCCCAGGTTGGCTGTGTGCTCCTCAAATACAACTGAGGAACTGGACCAGAGTCCAAGGGTTTGGCTCAATAACCAACTTGTGTTCATATGAAGTTAAAAAATGTAGCCTAATCTTTCCTTTACTATCACTGCTCCTCATTACAAATAGAGAATTCTCCCTCCTTTTTCCAGGTGCATATATAAGGGCTAAGCACAAAACACACTGAGCCATCTTCATCCTTGAAATCATGGAATTACCCAGGGATGAAGTTGGCCTATTTGCATTTACTCCATGAACTCACATCTGGTGACTCACCGAACCCTTTTACCCTTTATTCAGTCAGAGGAATGTCAAGTGGAAAAGAGAAAGGAGTATTCCTAACTATGTAAAATGAAAGAAACTGGGAAAGACATTGGAAAAGGAGCATCTCTGGGTGAGCAATGGTAATATAAATGATAGTTTTCAGAGTAGCAGCCGTGCTAGTCTGTATCCGCAAAAAGAACAGGAGTACTTGTGGCACCTTAGAGACTAACACATTTATTTAAGCATAAGCTTTCGTGGGCCCACGAAAGCTTATGCTCAAATAAATGTGTTAGTCTCTAAGGTGCCACAAGTACTCCTATAAATGATAGTGCTGCGCTTGGATTTAAGATTTATACTCAAAAAAGGAATATGTATGGTCACTGCAGTCAATGAAATGTGCAGTCCTGTGTTTCTTTAAGATCATACATCTATATATACTGTTTCAAATTACATAAATAATCTGCAACCTAACTTGCTCATGTAGGATCAACTATTTTTGTGATTTTAATAGACTATTCTGAAGGTGATTGTCTCCATTCTATGCTTGCACACCCAGAAGTCTATTACCAGGAACTACACATACACATTGTAATGAGACCTCACACAGGGGCCCAATACAGTTTTCCTATGTCTTACCCTTGATGCAACAAGTTGAAGTTCAGGCACCACAGCTGTGTGGACTAGGTTCCCATTCACCACTAATCGTATCTCTATGGAATCAGTAGTGAAGGCCAGGATATAAGGGAAAGCACAAACTGCAAGGGAACAAGGGCTGCTATTACTGAGAACAATTATGAACATATATTTGTGTCAGATGTTTTACAAAAGCACCTAGAGCTTTTAAAAGATTCTAGAAGTTTCCTGAAAATCTGACCTCCTCTAACATCTCCGCTCTCTAGTGTAAATATTTTAGAAGTTTTTAAACAGCCTCTAAAATGCTCATGGATGTCCAATTGCATAAAGTCTGTGTGACTGCCTGACTCTCCACGTTTAGTAGGATGTAGATGGAATTTCTCAAATAGAGCAAATGAACAGAAATAGAGCAAATAGAAGGAAATGAATGGGCTGAGGAGAACAAGAAAAAAAAGCCAATGATCTCAGAATTTTGTTTCTGCATGGAAAGAATCTGCCAAAGGGTCCTTGTTTTTCTAAACTGTCAATGCAAAAATCTAGGTGAACTGGCACAGCCCTAGACTGAGTGTGACTTGGCTGCATTTCTGTAACACCCATTGCTTCTCCCGTAGGGGCCAAGTACAATTCCAAACCAAACGAAGATGTTAAACCATCCTACTAGGTTACTACAGTCTTTTCTTACCAATAGCATACGGAACCTGGTTCCAACTAAAGTGGAAGTCTGATGCCGATGTCTGGACCAAAGGAGAACCCCCATTATAGGGGCATACCTTTCTGTAGTAGCAGACATCTGTAACAAAAAACATCTGTTAACTCACATAGAAAATGACACAAATTAATATTAAATAAAATGGCTTAGAAAATTGGATTATATCTTCCTATACAGCTGTTAAAACCATAAGAACATGAATTCATTGACTACAATTTTTAAAGGGAGAAAAATAGGGGTAATATAGAATATATACTATATCGTGTCTCATCTGTGGTAAAATCCGATTTTAAGTGTCTACTTTGATGTCAAAGCTATTTATAATTTATTTTACAATTGTAAGAATTTTACAATTCATTAATATTTTATGAAATCATGTGTTCGCTTGTTTCCCGATCCTCCATTACTTGTCTGTGGCTAGAGACACAGGCAAGAAATGTTCTGAAGTTGATATCAATGGCACAGTATCTGTCAGCCACCACAGAACACCCTTTAAGCAGTCATACATTAGCACAGTTCACACTCCCCAAAGACTGAAATGTACAGAGAGGGGAAACTTCCATATGAGGCCTGGGGGATATTAGACACAGAGGTTTTATTAATCAAATGACTTGTGCACCCAGTCTCTCAGGAACAACAGTATTATTTTTACAATGGCTCAAATTCTATCATGGTTTTCATGCACTGCATGTTTTTCCACCAGCAAGTGCTTCTACAGCATCTACTTCTAATCATAAAACTGGTAATTTTCCAATACTAAAAAGCAAAAAGGAAAGAATAAAAGCATAGGTCAGCCAGTAAGAGAGGCAGGACTCCACTGACTGGCTTTTAAAATCTGGATTCATTGATTACTCAAAGAACATTATTATTACAGTAATTATTGCAGTGATTATCCAATGTGAACTATGACTCACCATCTATTTCCCTAGTTGCAGGATTTCTTTCAATTATGAATTATAAAATGCTTAAAAATTATCAGTACATCTGCAAAGTCAAATCAAGAAAGTCACCATCTTTCTATGAGTAGTACACACAACAGGGATTCTAGTAAAACTGAAAACCAGCTTACAAATCCCCATTCTTTTTATTTACTCTATTTACTTGGACTGAACTCTTGAATTTTGTCTGAAAGGATGCCATTACTCCCTCACATGTCTAGCCTTTTGTATTAACAGGGACTTATATGGACTTCATTACTGTAATGTTTGAGCACCTCACAATTTTTGATGTATTTATCCTCACAACATCTCTGTGTTGTCAAGAAATGCTATAACATTCATTACAGATGGTGAACTGGGCATAGAGACTAAGGCCCAATTTCTTAAAGGTATTTAAGCATTGCTTCTCTCAGTGTTGCAGTGCCTACCTAATTTAGGACCCCAAGTCTCATTTTCAAAAGGAATTTTGGTAGTTATGAGCCTAAATTCCATTGACTGTCAATGGGATTAGGCTCATAAGTGCCTGAACCCTTTTTGAAAATGACACTTAGGCTCCTAAATCAGGTAGGCATTGCAATGCAGAGCACAGCACTGCCCAAATACTTTTGAAAAGTTGGAGCCTAATTGTTTTGCCCAAGGTTACACAGGAAGTCTGTGGCAGAGCAAGGAATTGCATCAAAGTCTCAGGCAAGAGTCCTAATCACTGGATGGTTCATTAAAGATTGTGAGGGGCTCAGACACTTTGGTAATGGGGTCATATAAGAAAGAAAGGCGATTATAATAATGGATACCTCAGAGCTGACATTTTGGTGAGTAATTAACACCAGAGGTGGTTCTCCAAAATTGGGGAATTTCATTTGTACACCTGAAAATAAAAGCAGGTAGCTGATGTTTCTACATTCTGCACAGCTTGTCATAAAACAATAATGAAAATTATATTGAAAAACTGCTAACTTAGCAATATGTAGAATCATATCCCACAGATAAACAGGATTGATACAAGCAGACTGATATAATTAATGTTTTTAAACTTCCTTTGCTATTGCCCGGATCAAATAAAACAACACTTACAGTTATAACACAACAGTAGACCAGCTTCACCATCTTCATATACATCAATAGCTGCAACAAAATTAACCTGCAATGATAATGGGTAAGGGTAGTGGGCAGACTGGATACTGAAGTTATTACAAACTGCTTTTGAGAAAAATGCAACACTTTGTCCCAGAGTCAGTGGAGATACACTCCTGCAGCTCAGAACAAAATCTGTCATTTTCAAGTGTAGCCTTCTGTAGCTATGCCTTTATTTGGCACTCATTGTAAAGCCACTCTTAGTAAGGGATTAGATTAGTTTTCCAAACAATATTTTCGATAGTAACATCATAATGTAGTAATCGAATTTATTTGGAAACACAAATCTTTAGAAACGGGAAGTAACTTACCCTTCATAACTGGAAATCTGTAGATTCTTCAAGATCCGTAGTCCCTATCTGTATTCCACTGTGCGCTGATGTGTTGGAGACTGGAGAGTTCTAGCAAGTAGTGTCTGTCTGCGCCTATGTAGTTGTTCCCCTCGCGTTCCAGACTGAGGGCATAAAGGATGGTGTGGACTGACGCCTCTCCAGTTCCTCTTACTGCAGATCAGAGAGGATCCGAAGTAGAGGGGAATGAGGGCAGGTAGTGGAATACAGATAGGGACCACACATCTTGAAGAACTCCAGTTATGAAGACTACTTACATTCCCTTGTTTCTTTGAGTGCTGGTCTCTGTGTGTATTCCACTGAGAGTGACTGACAAGCAGTACTCAGAGAAAAGGAGGATGCGAGGATGTAGCTGGTATGGCTGCTTGTAGAACCACTATCCCAAAGGATGTGTCAGCAGAGAAGGCTTGAACCAAGGCATAATGTCTCATGAATGTGTGGTTGGAACTCTATATCACTGCCTGGCAAATGTCAAGCAGATGTACTTGTTGGAGTAATGGTAGTAAGGCTGCCTTTGCTCTTGTAGAGTGAGCCCATACCCTGTGTGTGATAAGACATTAGATAACAACATAGAATGCAACCAGAGATCCACTCTGAGATCCTCTGGGAGGAAATAGCTTGTCTTTGGACTCGTTCTACTTATTGCCAGAGACAGTCTAGGTGACTGATTTGTTCTGTTCTCTGTAGGTAAAAGGCTACAGCTTGTCTCACATCGTGGAGATGAAGTTTCCTTACTTTGATGGATGTGTGGGCCTTCAGAAAGAACACAGGTAAGTGCATATTCTGGTTTATGTGAAATTCCTAAACTGATTTAAGGGTGAATTTCAAGTGTAGTTGTAGTGAGATCTTGTCTTTATGAAATGTAGTATAAGGAGAGTCTGCCATTAGGGCCCCTAACTCATGTATTTGTCTGGCTGAGATGATAGCAGCAAGATAGGGAATCTTCATAGATTGGTAAAGCATCAAGTTAAAAGGGTGGCACAGTGATAGTTGGAAGCACTAAATTAAGATCTCATTGAGGGGTTGGTTTTATTACTCGTGGGAAAGTTCTAATTAAAACCCTTTAAAAACTTGGAGGTGATTGGGTGAATAAGGCAATGTAGCTGTCTGATGGAGGGTGATGTGCTGATTGCTCTTAGGTGAACCTGTATGAAGCTAAGGGAAAGGCCAAACTTCTTGAGCATAAGAAGGTAATGTGAGATATCAGGTATACTTGCTGAGTCAGGAGACTCACAGAGCTGCTGGGCCCAGATAGAGAAGTGCTTCCACTTGACGAGACATTTTCTCATGGAGTCTGTTAAGACTGATTCCCCACTCTGGCACTTTGAGTGCAGAAGGTGGGGGCCCGCAAGGATTCTAAAAATTAATACTGGCCACTCCAAGCTGGTATTAAACTCCCAAGGTCACAGTTTCTCTCTGAGCTTGGATGGGTAGATGCTGTCACCACCTAAGTGCAAAAAAACTCCTTGGAACCCAGGAAGGCTCACTTGGGAATTCCTTCCTGTGAGGTACCCACATGCCCTTTCACACACCCCCTCCCTTCCAGGGAAGAGCTCAAAAAGAAAACAAAGGAAATTAGCTGTTGCCCCCAGCTAATTAAACAACATATGCACAAACCTCTTACGACACCAAAATCCAATCCTGTTCATAAAAAAGGTACATTTTATTAAAAACAAAAAGAAAGAAAATACATCTGGAACTTAGACTTTTGCTAGATTAAAAAAAAGCAATAACAAAAATTAAGCATTAAGATAGCTCTCTTGAGGTTTAGTTTAAATGTTACAAGCAAAAAAAGCCATCTGGGGTTTATAAAATTTTTTATATTAATTAATTAATGGAGATATCCCATCTCCTAGAACTGGAAGGGACCTTGAAAGGTCATTGAGTCCAGCCCCCTGCCTTCACTAGCAGGACCAAGTACTGATTTTGCCCCAGATCCCTAAGTGGCCCCCTCAAGGACTGAACTCACAACCCTGGGTTTAGCAGGCCAACACTCAAACCACTGAGCTATCCCTCCGCCCTGCACAGAGGAGTCCACAAGCCAATAAGAAATAAAAGAAAAACCCTAATCGCGTCTTCCTGGACATTCCCTGATTACTTACATATTTGGGGTTTCAGATAAGTAGGGTTGAGGTATGATTTGATGCTTTTTCATACCTGATTTTAAAGCTTTTCACAGCATAGCTTCAGCCCTGCCCTGCTCTGTCCCCTCTCTCCAGAGAACAACAGACAAAGGGAATTCCCCCCTCCCCCATTTTAAAAAGTTCTGGCCCTCCCATTGGCTCTTTTGATCAGGTGCCCAGTCCCTTTCTTTTACCTAGCCAGGGAGACTTTTTTACCCTTTACTGGTAAAGCAAGCAGAGAACAGCCACCAAGAGGGACTTTATAGCTAACTCGCTGGCTGGGTGTCCATAAATGGAAGCTACTTCCCCCCTTCATTTATCACAGAGTCCACTCTACTATTAATAAGGATGACTTGCACGTTCTGGGAACAAGAACATTCTAGATCCGATGCCCATCCAAATACCAACCTGTGAGATGATGAATTCTGGGTTGGGATGTCGGATCTTGCCTTTTTCTTGAGTCAAGAGGTCTGGAAAGGAATTAATGCCAACTGGTGGTCAGGCTGACATGTACAGGAGAACTGGAAACTAGAACCTCCTGGTCCATCTGGGCATGATGAAATTGACTCATGCTTTATCACCTCGACTTCTGTAATACTCAAGGAAGCGGTGGGACAGGTAGGAATGCATAGTTCAGGTGGTCTGTCCAAGAAAGAAGGAAAGCAGTGCTGCTGGAGAATGGCCTTGACCTTCCCTAGAAAAAACAGTTACTAACCTTCATAACTGTTGTTCTTTGAGATGTGTTGTAGGTGTATGCACATCCCGAGCACAGTCGCCAGAAAATTTTCCCTCAGTAGTATCTGTTGGGGTGGCTCAAGCCCCCTCTGGTGCCGCATGCTCACAGCACCAGTATAAAGCCCCCAGCTGACCCTGCACCCACCTCAGTTCCTTCTTTTTTGGCTAGCTCTGATGTAGAGGGGGAAGAAAGCAGGTCATAGAATGCACATGTGCAGCACATCTTAAAGAACAACAGTTACGGAAGGTTAATAACAGTTTTTTCTTCTTTGAATGACTGCACATGTGCATTCCACTGTAGGAGACTCCCTCAAGCAGTTGCATAGGTGGTAAGATCAAAGTTTATGGACATGCTGACTGCAACATCGTCCCTGGACTGTTGAGTGATGGCATAATGAGAAGAGAATGTGTGTACTGATGACCAAATCTCTGCTCTGCAAATGCCTGAATAGGGATTTGTGCTAGGAATGCCACTGACGATGTTTGTGACCTTGTGGAGTGAGCAGTTAGGTTAGCTGGTGGCCGAAAACCCGCCTGATCCTAACACATATGATCAAGGATGAAATTCTCTGAGCAGAGAGAGGGAGACCCTTTATCCTGTCAGCTACTGCTATGAACAGTTGGGTGAATTTACAAATGATCTAGTCCTTTCTATGTAGAACACTAGGGCTTGTCTAACATTCAATGAGTGAAGAAGCTGCCCTTCCTTATTTGCATGTGGCTTCAGATAGAAAACCGGTAGGAAGTTTGCCTGATTGCTATGAAACTATGAAACCCAAGCAAAGGGGAAAACATTTTAGGGAAGGGCTGCAGACCAAAATGGATGAACAAGCATCTCAAACAGATTATTAAGAGAAAGCAAAATGCCTACAAGGAATGGAAGAAGGGATGGATCACCTTGCCTGGATCTGATTGAGGCCTCACAGTGTGCTCCATTAGGTGCTTCTGAAGTTGGAGTTCTTGCGTCTGCCATGTTTTCTGAGAAAAGAGCAGTAGACACTGCACTTAGTGGAGATATAAGCTTCTTCAAGGCAGTAAAGGCAGCACTGGTGGTTGTCGCTGATCAAAAAGGAGTGGGGGAAGGAAAGGCAATTCTTAAAGCCTGGGAGCCTGGTCATAATCTAGGTTCTGCACTGACAGAGGATTTCTCAGGATGGAGATTCTAACTTAAAAATTACTTATCTAACGATAACTAACAACATAAAACTTCTAAATATTTACAGAAAAGAATGCCTATGAGGATCAGTTCTTGACACTGGAGGATTCCTACTAAGGCCATGTGGTGGTAAAAAAGGACCTGGAGAGGCATCAGTCTGCACCGCCCCTTATAGCTTTGGTATGGACCACGAAAAAAGCAACTGCAGAGGCGTTGAGCAATGGATGCTACTTGCTAGAAATATCCAATTTCAGGCATATGGAGCACATGTGTACCAAAAGTGAATACACATAGGGACCAGAATTCAAGGAAGAAATAGGCTGTATTTCAGCAGAGCTGGCTGAGCCACCAGGCAGTGCTAAAAATGCCAGCTCTAAAAGGAAACTTTGTAAAACATCAAACAAAAAAACCCAACATTGCACACCATGACTGGGAGGCTGGAAAGACCATAAGCACCCATATCGTCCCTCTCAGGGATCTTAGCATTTAAAAACATGAATGAAACCAATCTGGCAGTTGTTCCAGGTTTAATTAATTCCTATATGACAATAAAGCATTGCTGAACAGATTTCAATACCCTGGAAAATAGGGCTACAATTAAGAACTGAGAATTATTGGAATGAGAGAAAATGGACATTGGAGA